CCTTAACATTTATTTTTTGGAATTCCATAGGTTAGAGATCAACAAGTTGTAATTATTATAATAGTAACTTCAAGCTATCTGTAACTCTAGTTCTCTTCTCTCTGCTGATTTCTCAAGCCCAGAACCCTCCTAGGCCTAGTAGCTCTGGTAATGGGGGAAGTTTCAGCAGCAAGAAAAATTTGCAGCTGGGCATCAGTAGTTAACTCGGTTATGTAGAAGCCATCCAGTAGTTGAATGTAAATTGGATTTATTTATATGCTTTCCATTTTACAAATGGAGAAATAAGCCCTGGAGAATCTTGTCAAAAGGCGTGTAACTAGTCAGTGTAAGCCCAGATTTCCCTGATACTGGGCTGGTACTTACTAGAGCTGATTTCTTGACAGATTAGCCAAATCCATATACTTTCTTCATTTTTACTGATCCCTCATTGCAGAGTGATTATTTATTAATTTTAATATTGCTTAATGCTTCCTGAGCCTGCTTGTAGGCCCCTGATGAATATGTTCACTTAGCCATGACCTTGCTCTTATGTTGTGCTAATCACTACCAGTTTATATCGCTATCATCCTCTTTGCTTTCAAAATGGTTTGAAATATTGCCTCTCAGTGTCTTTTTCCATTTTAAACTTCAAAATGGTATCTTTTATATTTTCTCCCTGGTTGCCATGGCCAATGTGTATGGAACAATTGGATTATCTTTGCATATATCCCATGTTTAAGTAGGCTGGCCTTGTAGCAACAGTACCAGGTACTGTGGAATCCAGGCACATCAGATGGCTGTCAGCTTCCCACCTTCCTCTGTGTGTGCAGTGGAGGCGTGTATGGACACCAGGGCAGGGCGGGGGTGTATAACAGAAAAGGGGGACAGCTGGGGGTTTAAGTAGTATATTCTCAAGGAATATTTTGAGGGAGGTAAAAGAAGCTGCTTAAAATTTCATGTTTTCTAGAAGACTTTGAAATTGTATAGAGGGTAAGTTTCTTTCTGCTCTTCAGTCCGTTGATTTTGATTCTGACGTTTTAGGACTAGAACTCACATTCCTGTCTAACAAGCAGCATTCTGTGGTGTTGCATAGTGTTGGTTTATACATATGAATTCATTAACATGCCCTTATCGGACTTCCCTGGTAGCGCAGTGGTTAAGAATCCACCTGCCAATGCAGGGGACACGGGTTTGAGACGTGGTCAGGGAAGATCCCACATGCCGCGGAGCAACTAATCCCATGCACCACAACTACTGAGCCTGCGCTCTAGAGCCCGCAAGCCACAACTACTGAGCCCACGTGCCACATCTACTGAAGCCCGCGCACCGCAACGAAAAGTAGCCCCCGCTCGCCGCAACTAGAGAAAGCTCAGGCGCAGCAACGAAGACCCAACACAGCCAAAAGTAAATAAGTAAATTAAAAAACAAAATAAAACATGCTCTTATCATTGAAGGAGATGAATGGGAAATGGGTTCCAGAAATCTCATTCTATGCCATGTTCTTATATGTAGCTCTCTTTTATTATTACCCCTCCATATTCTCAGCACTGTGAGGTGAATATTATTGTACATATTTTGTAGATGAGGAAACTGGGGTTTAGGAAGCTTAAGTATCTCTCTGAAGGTCACACAGCTAATCATTGATGAAGCTGACCTTCGAAATGTAAGTTTTTTTCTGGCTGCAAAGATTATGCTTTTAATAACAGCACCATTTTCCCATATTTTCAGCCATATAAGTACCTCTCCTGTGTTTTCCTTTTCTCCAATTTCAGAATCCTTTATGGAGCATGCAGTTATTGATTAATAAGTCTAGTGGCTTAAAACTAAAGGAGGCTGAGTGTCTGAGATAGAACGGTCCGTATTTCACTGGGAAAAGGCTGTAAGAGGGATGTGGGAGGGGGAGCAGAGAAGGCTTCCTCTGACCTTTCATGAAAATTTTACTGCCTGTGTTTCTATACTGAGGCCTTGTTAGTGGCTCCAGAATATCAGGATTTAGTCTTGTATTCCTCCGAGGCAAAGAGACGTTAAATACTCTGGAACGGGATCTGGAGAGATTCCACAGTTGTGACAGTAGCTTAGATGTTTGGGAATCACCTTCTCCAGACTTAGGGTCAGGAAGCAAATAGCATAACATTCCACAGGTAACTTTTTACTTTTTTAATTTTTAATTTTATTTTTGGCTGCGTTGGGTCTTTGTTGCTGAGCACGGGCTTTCTGTAGTTGCAGTGAACAGGGGCTACTCTTCATTGCGGTGCGCGGGCTTCTCACTGCAGTGGCTTCTCTTGTTGTGGAGCATGGGCTCTAGGCTTGTGGCCTTCAGTAGTTGTGGCTCGCGGGCTCTAGAGCGCAGGCTCAGTAGTTGTGGCGCACGGGCTTTGTTGCTTCCCAGACCAGGGATCGAACCCATGCCACCTGCATTGGCAGGCAGATTCTTAACCACTGCACCACCAGGGAAGTCCCACAGCTACCTTTTAATTAGTGTTTTTGGCTTCTGATTTTGTTAGCAAACAAATATAATGTAACTATCTTATGAGTTCTAGAATCTCAAGCAAAGGGAAAATGGTAAAGAAACATGAAATATTAACTTTTGGTCCCATTTTAAATCCTGTATAATTTAGATTTTATCTGAGTTCCTTTATGAAAACTGTAACCCAAAATAGACATACAGCACGCTAAGGAACCTCATTCACATCTATTTAGGTTTTCTGTTTTGTGTTTATGTTAACTCCCTCTGAAAGAAGTGTGTGGATCATTTGTGTGTTTATTGGCTACATAGCAGATCTACTGTGCAAATCTGTCTGGGGATTTGAAGGGACTGAAGGTCTTTTTAGAAGATAAATCTGAGCCTAGCAAGATTAGAGCAGTAAGAGGGTATTGGGATAAAATTTGAGGCAGAGAACACCACCTGGTGGTTATAAGGAGGACTTGAGCCTTCTGTATTTGTAGTTTTTGCCATAGTGTCAGTAATATCTTTGTCCAAAAATTACATTCTTACTTATAATAATTGAGGATTCAAATTTCTAAGAATAATTTTCTGCCATATGATTTTAGCATTCCCTTATTAAAACTGCTGCCAAAACCCTTAGACCAACCAAACTATTATCTGTGTCCAGCAGAATTGAAACCTCATGTCCTTTGTTGCTCCAAATGCAGGTCCTGTTTATCTCTGTAGAAAATCAATTAGTATCTTTTCACCTCTTTATCAAAACCTCTAACTTTGACATCATGCTTCTTTTATGTGGTAAATTTCTGCTTAGTGGAATGATGGCAGAGGAAATATTAGTGATTTTTCAGCAAGTGTTTGGCAGGTGTCATATAAAAGTAAGTCAGTTTTATCCTGTATAAAAATTATGAAGAAGAGTTTGAAAATTTCCCAGAGTGATTATTAGGGTGAGCAAAGCTGGCAGGGGATGGGAGATTATGTAACAGAATTTTACTGAAATACATATCTGAGATTTCTTTTTTATTGCTATAAGTATCTTTATTATTTGACAATCGTGAATCTAAATAATTCTGTAGTTGGGTAAAGTAGGGACATCAGCTCAAGGGGAAAGGATCCTATTAAGTGAATCTGGATGCATATTTTATAGGCCTGGTTGGGAGGGGAAGATAAAGTTTTAAATTTCAGGCTGAGCCTTGAGCTGGCATGGCATGTCTGTATCTTTTTTCCTGGTAGGAAAACTGAATCCAGGTCTCACTACCATTGAAATGTTTCTTGAGGGAGGGCTGTTCGTGTAAGATAATAAATAGAATGTGACATGACTTCCCATTGTTCTCCTGGGATTTTTAAAAACCATGAGTAACAGTATTATAATATTTACATTTCAACACTCATATTATCAGACACTATAAAAAGCTGCTCCATACTCAAATGCCCACACATTATATAATCCCATTTATATAAAATGTCCAGAATTGGCAAATCTACAGAGACAGAAAGTAGATTTGTGGTTGCCTGGGGCTGGGGTGGGGGAAGTTGGGAGGAAATGGGGAGTGCTTGCTAATGGGGTTGAGATTTCTTTTTGGGGTGTACACTGTCACCAGAATTAGATAGTGATGATGGTGTACAACTATCTGAGAATACTAAAAACCACTGTGTTGTACACTTAAAAATATTTAAACTTAAAGAAAGCTGATTCTTGGAGGAATGAACAAAACCAATTTTTTTTTTTTTTTTTGCGGTACGCGGGCCTCTCACTGTTGTGGCCTCTCCCATTGCGGAGCACAGGCTCCGGACGCGCAGGCCCAGCGCAGGCTCAGCGGCCATGGCTCACGGGCCCAGCCGCTCCGTGGCATGTGGGATCTTCCCGGACCGGGACACGAACCCGTGTCCCCTGCATCGGCAGGCGGACTCTCAACCACTGAGCCACCAGGGAAGCCCCAAAACCAATTTTTTAAAGAAAGGTGATTATGGGAATTCCCTGGCAGTCCAGTGGTTAGGACTCAGCACTAGGTTCAATCCCTGGTTGGGGAACTAAGATCCTGCAAGCTGCACAGCATAGCCAAAAAAATAAAAATAAAATCTAAAAAAAAAGTTTTTTACAGGAATAAAGATACAGACTTACTAGAGAATGGACTTGAGGATATGGGGAGGGGGGAGGGTAAACTGTGACAAAGCGAGAGAGAGGCATGGACATATATACACTACCAAACGTAAGGTAGATAGCTAGTGGGAAGCAGCCACATAGCACAGGGAGATCAGCTCAGTGCTTTGTGACCGCCTGGAGGGGTGGGATAGGGAGGGTGGGAGGGAGGGAGACGCAAGCGGGAAGAGATATGGGAACATATGTATATATATATAACTGATTCATTTTGTTGTGAAGCTGAAACTAACATACCATTGTAAAGCAATTATACTCCAATAAAGATGTTAAAAAAAAAAGTTTTTTAAAGATGATTGTGGTAACAATTCTCTCACTTACGTTCTAGCAGAAATGTTGTCCGATAATCTAAATATTCCACTTTGGGTCTTGAATGTTGTTTTAATTTGTACTTTATTGCCCTGTTCCTGACCTTCACAGGACCACGATGGGCCTCCTGGAATATTGGTGTGTTCATCTGCATTCGATGTGCTGGAATCCACAGGAATCTCGGGGTGCACATATCCAGGGTAAAATCAGTTAACCTCGACCAGTGGACTCAGGAACAGATCCAGGTATTTACACAGCCCAAGAGTGAGTCAACTGCTCCCATATTTCCATGTAAAAGTAGTTCCGGGTGAATTTCAGTCAAACTGGGCATAAAGGTGAAGGTAAAGGAAAGTTTAGTTGTTAAACACTTATGTCACATTTAACATTTTTAATCTTTATATTTAAGACACAGGTTATTCTACTTATATTTTGCTTCCTTCAAAGCTCTAATAGTCTATGGACTAGGACCCCATGGATCCGTGAAGGTATAAAGGGGGATCTTCGGATTATTTTCTAAGGGCCTTGGCATTTGCAGATCTAACGTTTATAGTTTTAGATACTCACTTAAAAAAAGAAAACCCTCCAACACATAGACTTATAATAGCGTTTTTATTGTAGAAATGCATATATGAATCTTGCTTGCTGTTAGGTTGGTGGGCTGGGCATGAGACACTTAAGTTAGTGAGTCCAGCCTGGCCCAAGAGCTGCACCTCGATGTGGCTTCATTGTTCTATATTCTCTTCCTGCATTGAAACTTGTTAATTAAAAAAAAATTTTTTTTTCCTTTGTTTGGGGGGAAAGAAGCTCCAAACAAAACGAGTTGCTAAAGTTGGTTAGAAATAAGAGGTTATTCCTAACAGAAAATGGCTTTAGAAGTTACTTTAGATTACTTTTATGGATTCACTAAAGGACTAAAAGGTTAGTTATATTTTCCAGTTACACTTTACTGTATCTTATGAAGGAAATTACATGCCATGGAGGTATTTGGGAATTTGAAGATTTTTTTAAATCTTGGAATTTCTCTCTCACAAGTGTTAAGAAGTCTTTCAAAAGCCTAATGAGAAACACATTTATTGGTACTACAACGGAATAGGTTAATTACTGCTATAAACTCAGAATTGTAGTTGTTCCTGATTATTGCCTGCCTGATTAGGCACTGATTATTGCCTGCCAAGTAGACATTTTGATTGGCAGCTATGTCTTGGACTTTCAAATGGGATCTTGAATTATTATTGAATTAAGTGTGTCCTGTCAGACAAATCTTTCAATAAAAGGAGGAGGGGTGGCAGGAAAGACAGCTGTGAAAGTAAATGGTTGGGAGTAGAGCAGAGAGAATCATGGATTGGAAACCAGAATACAGGTTTAAATCTCGGTTCTGCCACTCCCTAGGTTGGTTCTTCAATTGTAAAATGGTACAGTTGGGTGAGAAGTTGATTTCAGTTCTTTCCTGATGTGACATTCCTTGTTTCCACATCTTTTTTATTGCAGTGCATGCAAGAGATGGGGAATGGAAAGGCAAACCGACTTTATGAAGCCTACCTGCCTGAGACCTTTCGGCGACCTCAAATAGACCCGTATCTTTTCTGGAGCAACTCAGAAGGCTGAGTGGTTTTTTTGGTGTTTTGGGAGAGTCACACAAGACTCAGAACCCATGATCTGACTGGGCCATATTTATATGTGGATTAGTCGAAGTCTGGCTTTTCCTCTCTCCTGCAACCAAGACACACAGGAAGTCCACGTATACTTTGTAATGTCAGAATGGTGGTGTCACATGGGGAAGACTTGTTCAGGAATTAAGACTGCAGTGGTTCACTGTGAATTCTTCCATAAAATGACATCTCCAATAATTTTTGGATCTCTGAAACCATTGTTTGATAAAAAGAATATTTATCGTGCTATGTTGAGTTAGCAAAACTGCCATTCATTTTTAACACCTTTTTATGTCCTAGCTCAAAGAATTAACTGTTGTTGACCAGTTAATCCATAACTTTCTTCCCCCATCCCCTCAAAAGGAGATAGCACCCAGCTCACAAAACCAAACCCCCTGAACACAGTGCTTCTCAAAATGTGGTTTGTAGACCATCTTATTAGAGCTCGCTTTTGGTGGGTGCAGGTGGAACCTGTTAAATGCAGATTTGGGACCCTGCAGAGGATCCACTGATCAGAGTCTGGCAGTGGGGCACAAGAGGTTATAAGGGGCACTCGGGTGTCTTTGTTTAAGACTTGTTGACTTAAGGGCTTTAAAATAGATAATTGACTGCTTTACCTGTATTCTAGAACAGCCACAGGCTCCACTGATGTCAAAATGAAGATTGATCCCATTTTCTGCTATCATTACTCTGAAGGAAAATCCTAGGAAATGGTGATTCCCTTCAGTAACCACGAAGGAGGCATTTAAAGGTTTTGGTCAGGGAAACCCCACGTGAAGTGACAGGAGCCATATGGGGAAACCAGGCAGGAGGGAGAGAGGAGAACAATGTTCCATGGGATACAAATTGACCTTTTATAATCATTCCATGAGAAAGATTTGTTTGATTTATCCTTAATAAGCTTTTTGCAGAGCTGTCGAGGGATTTATTCGAGATAAATATGAGAAGAAGAAATACATGGACCGAAGTCTGGACATCAATGCCTTTAGGGTTGGTTGTAAATCTTTCAAGTTTTGTTCATAATAAGTAATTTGCTTATTAATCAGCCCAGGTGGGAATTTGAAGAACAGCTACCAAAATACTCTAAGACCATAAAGAAAAAAAAAAGTAGAAAAAAGCCAGCTGTAGAATCAAGACCATGAGGTTTCATGGAGCAAACTTTTGCCACAGGGATGGACCAACCATCAGTGAATTCTTTACCTTGATTCGGATTTAGATGTTAGTGATTCCCAGTTCCAAATTCTTCAAATGGACATGTTGGGCATACTAGATCAAACAGAATAATATGTGTGTGTATGTATATACACGTGTGTGTGTGTGTGTGTGTGTGTGTGTGCATGCATTTTTTTGCTGTAAATGCAGTCAACAAAATTAGGTGTAATTAAAGCACCAGAGTTTCCTTCAGTTTGACCAGCATATTATTTCCAGTGTGTTGACAGACTGCCAATGGGACCCTTGTTCTTGAGAGGGGGTTCTAGGAGACTCCCAGTTGCCAAATACACTTTTCATCCTAGGCGTGTAGTTAGAATCTGAAATACAGTGTATGATAACTGGACAAGTATAACATACAGGAGGAAATACAACACGGTTTCCGGAAGAAGAAAATATGCCTGACTAATGACAACTAGAGTGGAACCAATAAATATGACTATTTAGACCTTCAGAAAGCCTTTGACAAGACTCTATAGTAAATTTGCCTTGGAATAATTAACTGTTTCTCTAACCAAGGAAGTATGGAGAATATGGGATTCTCCAGTTCTAGCCAAGGACCTATCTAGCTATCCTCTATCTTCTATCTGTTATTTATTTTAATGGAAGATGTACTAGCCAGTGAAATCATTAAGTTTACACAGGGCTCTAAGCCCTTCCAGGTAATTTAAAGTCAAGCTAATTGGAATCATCTCCAGACTGATCTTTTGAGCTTGTGTGAAAAGGGACACTAACTGGGAGGTGAATTTCAGTGTAGGCAAGTGCAGGGTAATACGTGTAGTTAGGTAAAGATAATTCCTTCTCAACTTAGTATGAAGGACTCTTACCTCACAGTCATCCAGAAAAGGGACCTGGAAGTTATTGTAACTGTCCCAAGAAAGAATTAACCCAGTGTACAGCTACAGCTTGGATGGCATCATCAAAAAGGGTTTGAAACCAAAGCACAAACGTTTCCTTTCATTTGTAGAAAACTATGGTCTGTCTCCTTAGCTCTGTTCATTGTACCAGAACATATGAAATCAGACGAGGTCAGAAAAAGGTATCTGAGATAATTCAGAAGGTGAGAGAAGAGGAAAGAGTAGCTATATGGAGATAGATAGTGGTCATTCATAATTAGGTTGCTGGTGTACCGTACCCATGAAAGCAGCCTGTTTTACTCACTGAATGTTTTCATTTAGGAAGGAAATATTTCCTATGTGCCAAACAGCTATTTCAAACTTTTTTATTTGATGTACTTAGATTTTTAAAAAATACTCTTGCAAAGATTTATATGCCAAGAATTAATATTTGCTAAGTGAAGGCATTTATTATCAAATCTAAAAGAAACTGGCTTTGTTTATTAAAGAGTATTCTTTTTAAATGGACAGATAAGACATTTTTAACTTCAAGAAATAAAGTGCTCTGTATTAAAGCATTACACTATGCATGAAACAGACATAGCTGCGTGTGTTCTTCATGATTATAATACCACTTTATAGATAATATGAAAGTTAAAGTGGAAAATCCATGCCTACTCTTATCTTTACTAATGATTATCATTTTGGTGTGTTCCCCCATTTTCTCCTACTTTTTGGAGGCGTAATTATAATACAGTTATATAGAATGTCTCCTGCTTTCACTCGACTTAACAGATCATTTTTTTTGTAACATTACTTGTTAGTTTTCACAACTTGTAATTGTTGAATCTTATTCACTGAGTAACTAGATCACAGTTTATTTTACTGTTCTCCCCTGTGGCATAAAGGTTAAGTTTTTCTTCAGCATATAAAATTCTGGGATGAAGTTCTTGGTGTATATAACCTTTTCCATGTTTTGGATTATTTTCTTAAGATACATTACAAAATATCGTATTATCTAGGGTAAAGGGTTTCAGTATTTGTCTCTTTGTACTTTTGCCAATATACTTTCTAGAAGTTGTGCTATTTTATACTGTCCTCTCAACATTGGGTAAGAGTGGTAAGAGTGGTAGTTTGGTAGTTACTCATTGGGTAAGAGTGGTAGTTTTACTCAATCCCTACCAATATTAGATATTATTATTAAGATTTTTCTCCCTCAAAAAGTGTTTTTTTTTTTTTTTTTTTGGCTATGCCTTGCAGCTTGAGGGATCTTAGCTCCCCAACCAGGGATTGAACATGGGCCCTCAGCAATGTAAGCGCAGAGTTCTAACCAATGGACCTCCAGGGAATTCCCCCCAAAATGAATTTTAAATTTCACTTTTCGATCATTAGCAGGGCTAACCATTTTTCATGTGTATGCTATACTTCCTTTTGTTTGTAGTCAAATCTTATTTTTTAAAAAAGCAGCAGATCAACATTACAATTCAAGAACCTAATGTAAATATGCACTTGACAATGAAGCACATTTGAGTATGGAGTGAAAAAAGTTTTCAAAAAAACCATCAAATGTATCATCTCCAAATACCCAAATAATAAATCACCTCTACAGGCCTTTTGTTGAGTGGAATCATAAACAAAGAACAGAAGATTTATTGCTGTGAAAACAAATCTGTAGTACAGTAGTATGAATCTTGGGTATTAAGCATAATCAGTTGAATCAAGTTAGGAAGTTGAAAATCTAATAAGAAATTTGTGTGTATGAGAGAAAGTCTATAAGCCAGCTGACCCAAGAGCAACTGAGATATCAAACTTGTTCAGTGAGACCAGACATTATTTTAAATCTCCATATTTTGAAAGCAGTTAAAAATTACAATTCCAACAGCCCACAAACTAAATTAAAAAAACTGTAGAAAGCATTAAAACTATGTTCAAAGAGCCACTTTTTCAGCTCAATTTCAGCACCCCAAGGGAAAAGAAAAGCATCCATGACTATCACAGGTGAAAACAGAATGAATGTCATCGGAATCAGTTATTTTTCCCCACTGAGGTATAAAATCTATATAGAAATTTGATACTGTAACAAATTGTACTTCTCATAGTTCTGTTTTAATTTCCTTTAAACCCTGTTTAATATAGTTTTTTAAATTGTTATAAAAATGTTTTCATGATTCTGAATCTGGTTCCAGTTCTTTTTCATTTATTTTTATATCAATATTTAATACACTGGCTACCAGTTCTAATCAGAAAAAAAATCTTGGATGTCTCTTCATTATAACAGCGTATTCAGCAGAAATGACTGATGTGCAAGCAAACCATAAAAGGTGCAGCTCTCTGGAAATCACATTTCGTAGATTGTTTCAGTCTGAATATTCTTTACGATGATTTTTGATGGAAGACTCTTCCAATCTTGTAAACATCAGTGTGCACAGTCTTGCTACTACGTAGTTTCATATCCTTGGACAGGAGGGCCGGTTCACAGCTAGTGAAAGCGAGAGCAGTCTAAGTTTTAATGGCTGATAGACCCTACATCCTACAGGAGGAAAGCACTTTTCCTTTTTTGCTACTTAAGAATGTGGCAGAAATGGATGCTGAGGTAGCCCCATCAATCCTTATTTTTTTCTTTTTTTGTAAATTTGGTCTCAGAATTCTGGAAGGGTGACATTTCGAAGAAGCCACTGCTGGGACTGGCTTCCATTGCAGTCTCTAATGCTGGGCACCTGGCTATCCTCTTCTGTGGCTTTATCTAGGCACTGATTACTGTTCACATGCTGCAGGGTTAATTTCACCAGGTCATACTCCCAAAGTTGGTTGCCTTTTAGGTGGTAGCATTTGAGCATTGTGACTGGGCCATTAAGTTTGGATACACCCAAGCAAAGGTCATCTGTTCTAATTTCTTTGTTGGCAGTGTAAGAGAAAACCTGATTACCTCCCATACCGTGACAGTTAAAAATTCCAACTTTTTCATTCTCTTTTCTAACCATGTTATCCAGACACTGATTTGTTTCCACATTTCGTATCTCTCCCAAAGAGAAATAGTGATGTAGAATCTGAGAATCTGCATAAATATTCTCTAGGTACCAAAAGAAAGGTCTGCATTGGAGTTTGCGTCTTAGACCAAGTCTTGGTGATATATCTCCATAATCTACCTTTGTAACACCTGGATAAATTATATAGAAGAAATGCTTGAATTCATCCATACACACTTCTGCAAGTCATCTGTTATTTTTGTTGATAATCTGCCCTGTGCCTCCTGGAAATGTGTAGGGTGTAGCTTTCTGAAACACGTGTCCAACATGTGAGCAAGTAACAATCTCCAAAGTTCCTCCACACTGCCAAATCCTAAAGGAAATTTCTAGGTTTTCTCCTCCCCAAATATCCATTCCAGCATCATATGTTCCAATTTCCTGAAAGTAATCTCTGTCTATTGAAAAAAGGCCTCCTGCCATTGTAGGTGTTCTCACAGGAAGAATTCCATCACCTTTCCTTCTGTCCATTTCTCTTTGGGGAACAGGATACCAGCGAAAATTAAGCTTCCAGTTGAATCCACCATAGGTTATGTCAGAACCTGCCATGTACTCAAAAGTATCATCACTGATCACATCAGTGATAGGATAGTCCACTGTCTTCCTGTCATGTTTCATCCTGGCTAAGAGGGGCTCCAGCCACCCCACTGTACACTCACAGTGAGCATCTTAAAAGGTGATCACTAGGCCTTTAGACACTGCAGCTCCTTTCAACCTAGCTCTGATCAATCCAGAGCATTGCTTCATTCAAATGACATGAACTGGTAATTTAATTTTTTCACATAACTCTCTAGAGGTCTTTTCAAAAAGTCTCTTTCACTGGCATCATCTACTAGAACAATTTCTTCTCGCATGTGTCTTGGTGAGCGATTAATGACACTATGGACAGTTCGCAGAAGTGTGCTCCAAGCCTCATTGTGGGAAACAATCACCACACTTGTTGTGATAATATTCCTTGTATCCAGGAATATTATCTGGATACACCTTTGTTTTACACCCTTCTAACCTAACATCTGGTAAAGATCTGTTGAGTGCAATCATCTCATTTGCCGTTAAATTGAACTGATTGATTTTAAACATCTCTTTCATCTTTTCTTGATCCTCTTTAGTAGGAATGACGACTGGTTTCCCCATTTCTCCAGGACCTTCATGAGGCTTTTGTACTGGCTCTAGAACATCCCCAGCAGGAAGTCCTCTCTCTATTTTTTCATCACATTTGTTGCATTCACTGAAGTAAAACAGCAGGAACATATCCACGAGTACCCAAATCAAGGAGATGGCTAGCACCACCTTGCAATACGCAAATTTTCTCATGGCACTTTAAGTCAAATGCAAATTTTTTTAATATATATAAATATACAAAGATCATGAAAATTATTCCAATCCAGTTTCATCAGAAATCACGTTCATAAAAATAGCCTTGGTCTGCGCGCGGCGGCGGCGGCGGCGGCGGCGGCGGCGGGCGCTCCTCGGGGCCGGCCCGGGAGGTCGCGGCGCGGTCCCGTGGGCAGCAGCGCGGGCGCTACTTTGCCGTCAGCCGCTTCGCCTCCTCGACCACTGCCTGCGGCTCCCCCGACGCGAGCCCCGCCTCCGCCGCCTATACTTCCTTTTATATGCCTGTGTTCTTGTTTACTTTGTGGCTCTGTTATGCATTTAGATTTGATGATAAAAATGTGACCAGTAACAGTATAAACTGTGAAAGTATTATGAAACTGCCTCTGAAAGTAACAAAAACTGAGAAAGACTTTCTAATCTGGTTTTGATGTGCTTTTTGGTTTTATACAGATGATGCATTCAGGACACCCTAAAAGGGATACTTGAATCCTTTTACTCATTTTTGCCTTATTTTCTTGGTTTTTGTTTTTCTAATCTTTAAGCTTGGTTTATTTTCTTATTTTTAAAAAAGGAGATGAAGAGGGAGAGAACTTTTGATGGAAGTTAGAAAATCACAAAGGCTGTATGCCGAGTAAGATGAACAGTTTTCACCCCTGTGCCAAGTTGAGCAAGTTAAACTAGGGTCAAAAAGGGGCAGCAAAACCGGTGAAATTGTTTAACCCCTGTAGATAACCCCGTCTGCACACTAGCGGTCATAAGTGTGTTAGACAGAACCAAGGAGGGAGGTGCTTGAGAAATTTGAAAGGTGCCTCTTGCAGCCTTGAGGCCAGGGTGGAAGAGGCCAACACTCATGCCCCACACCAAGAAACCCTGAGTTTGTCAGACTCCTACATCAGATTCAGTAGGGATATTTGTGTCCTTTTGGGCCATTTGAGGTTATAGTTTGTTGAACTGTTAGTCACCATGGGGCCTGTTCTTTGTCTTGTTTTGTTAAATCACCATAGAAAGAAAAAGATGACAAGTGGAAAAGAGGGAGCGAACCAGCTCCGGAGAAAAAAATGGAACCTGTTGTTTTTGAGAAAGTTAAAATGGTAAGTGGGGAAGTATGTGCACTGCGTGGACGGCCTTGTTCACATGGCGTGTTCACATGTGGAGGGGACAGGTGGGGTGGTGTTGATAGCATATCTCACCGTTGCACCTGGGGCTAAAGGGGGTCCACGTTTAGGTTAGATCACCCGCTGACATTTCTGCTGCTTTCTCATTGCCTTGTTGCTGCCTGATCTGCTCTGTAACACTTCTTTTGGGGTCCAGATGGGAGCTTAGGAAATGCATCTGTCCCATCTGAGCAAGAGGCACGTTTCATGGCAGAATGCCAAGGCTCTGTGACACCTTCTGAGCAGAGGCTACATTAGTCCTTCTCTCCTTAGACCTTCTTTACCTCGTTTTCCTGTTGTGGTTAAGAACAGTCCAGAAGCCAGGCTATCCTCATCCATTTTAAACCATCCCTTCTTGTATTCTTGCTCTGTCATATGGAAGTAGACACCTTTCTTTAACCACAGGACATGTTGTGGCAGTGGTAGTAGATGCTCCGCTATAGGAGTTTAGATTCTTGGGAAAGAGGACTTTTTACTGTTTGCTTAAGGAAGAGTCTTTTATCATCATTCTGAATTGCACTGTCTGCAGAACACATTCCTTAGTGATACTGGCAGAGTGAATTAGGTAACCTTTAGCTGAGCTCCTTTTCAGTATTAAAGGTTTTCTAATCACTGGGAGATGTGCTGGCTCTTGTACCATCGGACACCTGCCTTTATTCTTGGCTTTTCCTGGGACCAGAAAGTGCTGCTCCTGTTGGATACCCTGATCTGTGGTTGTCTTGGTTTCAGAAAGATCTGTCTCTTCAGAAAGCCAAATAAGCACAGATGACAGCTTTGTTTTTCACTTTAGCTTTGTTTTCTGCACTGTGCCTCCTGACTTGATTTTTTCACACAATACTTCCTGAGTTGTGTTTCTTTGGTAACTCTCTTTGAATAACAGCAACCATGCCACAAGAATCCCTGTGGCTTTACAGTAGGGAGGAGAATAGAAGGTTCAAAAACACCTGCTTATTTTTTTCTGTAACGTATTTTCACCTTAGCCACAGAAAAAAGAAGACCTACAGCTACCTCGGAAATGTTCCCCGAAATCCACAGCACCTGTCATGGATTTGTTGGGCCTTGGTAAGAGTTAGACTTTTCCACTCCCATAATCATACAAATTTTGATGAATTCTCTGTGATCCTGGGAAGATAGGTAGAGATGGGACTCTTCAGTTGGTGGCTTCATCACTATGAAGATGGTTCCCTCGTGTTCTTCCTGTTGTTTTACATCTGAGCAGTTGTTCTAAGAGGTGTTTCATTTTTCACTGTACTGTGAAAAATGTACAGTGATAGAGTAGTGGTTAAGTACAGTAGTGGTGGAGCATGGCCTTTGAAGCCAAAGTCCCAACTCTGCCACTTACTATCTATGTGACCTTGGGTAGCTTACTTAACCTCTAAACATTACTTTCCTAACCTATGTAGTGAGGATGATACCAGTCTACTTCAAAGATGATGTTGGAAGGATTAAATGAGATAATGCCTCTAAAACTCTTAGCTCCTTGCCCAGCACAAACTAAGCGTTCATTAAACGTTAGCATGTTTCACTAAACCAGCACCTGTGAGCCCTGCCCCCCATCCCTCTCATTTTCCAGGTGCATCCTGTTCCTGAGACGGCCCATTACCTTGTGATCATGATTTTCCTCCAAACTTTTGAAACCCTGAGCTAGTGGTTCTACCCCTTTCAGAAATAAGAGCCTATTCTTACCTTTCGCAGTACTGATGGCTATACTTTGTTTCAGTCCATTCC